ACTAGTCGAATATCGGCAGGCTACTGGCAACGGCAACACAACTTACACAACTGCACAAAACCACAACTGGAAGCAGTGTTGCCAACCTTGAAGTAAGATTTTTCCCTCCAAGTACCTTAAAAATTCCCACTTTTATGAAAAGAATCCCTCCCGTTTAAGGATGCAACATTGCCATATTTTCATTCCTGAAAAAAGTCCTGAGTGGTCTATATCGTTAATAAACCAACAAGTCTTGCTAGGTCCTGCGCGGTCGAATAATCGGTAAAGTAATTCTGAGGCGTTGCCGAAAAAGTGTTCTTAAACCCGCCAATTTTTTTTCTAATACATTGGGTGATTGATTTTTATCCGATTTTTAATACATTATGTTTGCAATGTAAATAAGTAAATATTTTTAAATTTGGTTTTAGTAGTGTCTTCTCATGCCCCCCCTGGATCCGCCACTGTGAAGTAATGTCAAAAACTCTTTCTATTTGTTTAAAATAGTTTACACCTTTAATATTTTTTCAGAAAAATTACATTGAAAACCCAGATGTCACAAGAAGTACAAAATTATAGAGAGTCTTTAACAATAATCGTATCCCACTTGACCATATTGACATATATGTAAGAAGTGACGTCAGTATTGATAACAAATTAAGACGAAAAGCGAAAAATGCCGTCTCAGCTGTTGCCGCTAAAAAGAATCTCGGTGGTAGACTGAGAATAAATATCGAACGTGACATTCTACTATTATTTGTGTGTGATTAAATTTAGGTTTCCCTTGGCTACGGATACTAAGTCCATTCGCCAATTCTACTATTAGACTTTTAATAACACACATATGTATTTCTGTGCTTGTTTTTTAATATTAATATAATGGTGTTTAAAAGTTTATTAATTAATTTGGTAGTTTTATTTTAAAACCTTACAAATTCAGAAGTAGGATAGATTCACGTGTCTTCCGCGGTCGCGCATGTGAACAATACCTCGAACCTGGCAAGGTGTTCGTTAGACGAACTTGTTTCGTAAAAAGTGCATAAAAGTGCATCTCAAAACTTATTCAATAAGTGCAAAAAAGTGCATCGCAATGAGTACACCAAGGATGCCCCCACGACAAAACCGACATCGTTTTTGCGACTTCATCACTTGAATCTATGTGTAGTTCTTCTAAAAGGAAAAGAACTTCGAGAAGTCATCGAAAGAGTGAGATTCATCGGTTACGCAAGCAGGTAAAAAGACTGCAATAAAATGTAAGTGTACCTTTTAAGACTACGTTTCCTATTAGCATGACTGTGAATGAAACATTAATACCAATATTTGAACCTGGCGTGAGTGTATTTGGCGCTGTTGATTGGTTGGGAAAAGTTGACGAGTTGAGATATTTTCATGGATGGGACGATATTATTATAGTTAAGCTAGCAGCAAATCGTTTACGCGGAAACGCGCGAAAGTTGTATGATTCGCTAAAAACATTATGTATGTCGTGGAAAAACGTTAAATAACAATTACTATTAAATTTTCCACCGCAAACGCGTTTCGGAAAACTACTTGTTGAGGCGGCCACATACAGGCCTTCATTTGGTCAGAATCTAGCCGACTATTGTTATGAAAAAGTGCAAAATTAAATTAAATAAATAAAATTGTAATATTATATCTTCGATCCATTTAAAGTATCTATATCGTGTATATTGTAGACAAATTTGTATTATATTTAAATAAAGACTTAAAAAGGGTATTTTTGTTTATTTTAGACCAACAAATATAAGCCTATACATTTTATAATAATGAAAATACCCAAATTAAAAACATTTTAATATTACTAATGATAGGATTCTAGGAAATATCCTACACACTACAGAATCTGTAAGATATAGTAATATAATATAATTGTTTACAGATTTTGGGTTTTCAGATCTTAAATATTGTCTCAGAATCGACCCATAAAAATCTCAATAATATTAAAATAAATTTATGATACGCCTATGTGATCTAAACAACCTCCCTCTCACCTCGCCTATCCTCCTTCGGTTTGTTAGTGTTCCGAGAAAATAAATCCTATGCTAAAAGATTATGGGGGTTATGGTGTTATTTTTAACAGGTCTGTTATTTTATAAACACACAGAAATATCAACCTGTTCACAAATAACGTGTCTGTTAAAAATAACGTTACTTGTCCATCATTACCCCTTATTTACTTATCAAGATAGTTTACTTATTCATCTGAGGTTATTACTCGCATTTTTTAAATATTTTTGATGAACCAGGCTTGTCCTCTGAATCCACAGCACACCTTTTGGGGGGCAGCTTGCTAAAATAGAATGTCTTCATCGAACTGCTCAGACGGTCGAAATCGTCATTTGATGGTATGTCATCAATGAATGGTTTATCAATGTCGTCACACATCAGGTATGATATGTTCGTGCAAGATTGGCCAGTACAGTAGCTACAAACAGCCGAGCATTTCAGCCCTGCTTTCCTGCAACAACAACTGCAGAGCTTGAGGAGCTGGTGGGGCCATCATCTGTTGACGAACGAAGTCTGGTTTACTCCGCATCCAGCCCTATTCGAGGGGATTCTTCTCATTTCCCAGCCACTTCTGTACCTAAAATAAAATCAACAACAAAATAAGGAATCATGTATAAAAAATGTGGTCTAAAGCAGAAAGGAATACAAGCCAAAAACTTATTCTCACCTGGTGGTATGTTCGCAGAGAGTGAAATCTTGTAGCATCCTTGGTTGGAGGCAATCTGGCGAGGTTCATATTGGGCTTAACTGCCGCCCTAGTAAACAACTGGAAGCTAAGATTTCTCATGCTTCGGCAACTTGTTCAGGTGTGGCACTGGAGCTTAAAAAAAACCTCTGCGTTTTGTTCGAGGCGTGGCAGTTTTTTTATTGTCGATAGAAATTTCTTTTTTCCTTGGCCAAAAGGTGCTGATGTTGTATGACAACCGCTAAACGCGTGAAGGAATAGTGCTATCCTGGGTTGTGATAAATGCATAGATGATAAATGCGTAAAAGGAATTTGTCGAGTCAACCCGAGCGGACCCAAGATAGTGTGCGCGCACTTACTCGCACTCACGACAGATATGCCGGCCGGCGAAGTATTCCCCCATTGCATCCCCGTTATACGTAGTCGTGCTTTCCTCACCCACGGGGTACTGGCGTTAAGATGATAGTTTGAATATCAAATCAATAACACAGGTGTTTGTTATATTGTTCCTTCCGTAATATTAGTTGCAAATAAAAGTAAAGAAAATTCCGTTATAATATGTTACACATAAAAGTAAAACATACTTTCAGTAAAAATCTACCAGACAACCAAAACAAATTGTAATACTTCCTTTTTTTGAAATTTTTCAAACTATCTGGCCTACCGAAAGCAAATTACATAATTGTTTACTTACCTCAACAACTTTGAACAGCTTTGTTTCAGGAACTATCAGGTTAACATAGTTGGTCTCATTTTGTTGGGAATTAAGTGGACTTTAATAACAAAAAAAGTAACTTTTCCAATAAACCCACTACTTAGGGGAAAAAATCATCGAAATCTAAAAAAACTGTAATAGTTCCTCATTTTTGAAATTTTGCAATCTTTTAAATAGCCGTATCTTAAAAACTATTTGGCCTACCAAAACGAAATTATTCTCATTTATTTGCAAATTGTGTCTACTTAAGAAGTGTCGTCCATAGTAATATTTGCCATAACGTAGGTCCTTGGTGGTAAAAATTGACAAAATCATCACTATCAACTGATAAAAAAATTAGAACTAGCTCATTTGATGTAAGGCAGCACTTCTTTTTTTGTACGATATCCATGTACTATTTTGCCTGATCAGACGTTTATGAAAAGACTCAATATTCGTATAAAATGTAATGTATATTTTTAGCTGCTGCTGATAGCGATAATGATGTGATGAGTTCTGCATACAAAGTAAGAAAAATAGCCATAGGAAAATGGCTGAGAAGATCGACATGTTTGATATTATTTATGACAATAAAAATATATCTATAGTTGCAATTGTTTTATTTCTTATTAATGTAGGTGGTAATATCCATAAATTGTCCAAAAGTAATACAAAAAGAGTTCATATATGCATGGGCGTCGTTTTGAAACTTGTGTAACCGAGTAGACATGATTTTATTGTTAAAGTTATTTTTTTATATTTTTAAAGTTTAATTTTAGGCAATTCCCTTCTGGAAGTTGCCTGGAACTTTTGGTAGGTTACAATAACATCACTGGATGAGAGATTCCAATTACTTTCGTGTTACTCTAATAATTTAGTGTTTTTAAGGAATATTGATAAATTTAAAAATTATTCTGAAAACAAACACTTAGAATTAGTTATGTCAAAAAGTTAAAAATTTATTTAATGGCAAAACTCGCAATGAACTAGACATAACTGCGGTAGAACTTGTTAAAGAATTGCAATATTTATAAAATTTTGATGAAAACAACAACTTAGTGGATTTTTTTCCTAATATTATAATACTTCGTATTTTAATAACAATGCCGGTTTCGGTTTTTACCGCAGAACGATCTTTTTCAAAACTAAAAATAATAAAAAAATAATTAAGATCGACCATGGGGCAAAACCGACTAAGAAATTTTGCTTTCATTTCAATAGAATCGGACCAGCTAAAAGAATTAGACACCCAAGATTTAATTAAACAATTTGCAAAAATCAAAGCACGAAAAGCTCAATTTACTTAGCTAAAATATTAATAACAATACCCAATACCTACCTAAATATTATATTAACCTTTAAAAGGTGACATGTTGCATTATTAAAATAATATATTGTTTTGTTTTTATTTGTCGATCAGTTTCGTCCTGTGATATATAAACGAGTATTTTTAATGTTTTAAATATTCTTTTTATTTCTTGTGCTTTTATATGAAACTAAAATATAAAAATTTTGAGTTGTAATACTGTTAGAATATATTTCTGTTTTTTATAAGTTTATAATTATGCTATGTACCTACCTCAATGAGAAAATACTTGTATGGCTTGTACTTGTAAAATATAAAAATTTATGAAAATACTTTTTAAAATTATTTTTCAGTAGTGGATAATACCTAACAGGACAATAGTAAGTGCGAAAATGTCGGAAACAGGTGATATACCTCTGGAGCCAAATTCCAACTTAATGGATGCCGAAGTACAGGTCCGATCGGTGGGCGGACCTCGCATCGAAAACATTCTTGAAATAGTCAACTCTTTCTCTAAGGCAAGAATACAGGCAATGACAACCGTCATGGGTCTTAAGGATTCTCTAAACAAGAAAAGCGAAGTAACACGTAGCATCGAGGAAATGAGCGCAATCTTCTCGCAGCTAAGTGTTCTATGTGGAACTACTGATGGCAATGACTTGACTAACAAAAATATGAGCAACTTGGTAGACAAAGTTGAAAAGATTCAATCTGCTGGCACCTCATATGCGGACAAAATCAAGGCTGCAACCGCAAAGGTTCAAATTACTGCAAATAAGAAGGTTACACCAAACCTTAACAAGGCAATCATCCTTACGCAAAGAGACCCTGAGGGTCCGCTAAGGAGTTGCGAAGATACCAAAAAGCAAATTATGAACAAACTTAAACCAGAGAATCTTGGTTTAAAACCTGAACGAATTACAAATTTTGGCAAAAACGGCATAAGGATTACTGCCAAAGACATAGACGAAGAAAAGGTTAGCAAACTTGCACTAAACAAAGCTGGCTTGGACTTCAAAATAGTGGGCAAATTTCAACCAAGATTGGCAATTTTTGGCGTCCCTGCTGAACTTGAAGCAGAAGATTTAAAAGAAGGCATATTAAATGAGCTTGACCTAGACCAGGAAAAGCTAACAGTCAAGCACAAATTTGGGCCAAAAGGCAAACATGGTCGTCGAAGTCTCTACCAAAAACAGAGCAACTCTATTAACAAACGAGCGTATCCATCTAGGTTGGTCTTCGTGTTTAATTAGGGATCATTAGGTGCTTTAAGTGCCAGAAATTTGGCCATCTGCAGGCGGCTTGTAGGGGTGAGGCTGAGTGTGGACACTGTGCTGGAAGTCATGACACCAAAAACTGCAACAAGATTGATGATACACCAAGATGTGTAAACTGCACCCATGCGGGTATAAAGGATAATCAACATGAGGCCAGATCACAAAAATGTCCGATACTCAACAAGAGGACACAAGAATACATATCCAATACCGATTATAATGTCTAAAAGAACATTAAAAATTATGCAAGCAAATGTACAAAATTCACGCAGTAGCACCATTGAGGCCAAACCCCTAGCCGAGTTGCATAACATAGACATTGTCTGCCTACAAGAGCCATACACATACCAACAAAGAGACACAAATCTGTTAAAAATACCAGGTCAAACACAGGCTCAAAATTACTACACACAAATAGAAAAGCCTTACACAGCAACTTACACCTTAAATAGGCTTATAGAAAACACTTACAACTCTAAAATTTCGAGCCCGCACATCACGGTTGGTCTTATCACACTAATAAATTTGAAAATATTAATAATAAATGTATACATACCATGGGATGGAGATATACAAGACTTTATAAACCAACTAAACAACATATTAACAAAATATAGAAATCACCAAATGCCAACCATCCTACTTGGCGATGTTAACTGCAAATCAACATCCTGGTTTTCCAAACAAACAAACAAACAAACAAACAAACAATCGTGGTCAGCTTTTAGAAGACTTCCTCAGTGCAAATAATCTATACCTTGCAAACAGAGAAGGACAGCCCTACACTTTCTCCACGGCAAATGGTGAGGAGAACATAGACATTACTGCCATTTCTGGAAACCTTCTGAACAACTTAATCTCATGGGAAGTCAATGAAAATGAGAGCTCAAGTGATCATCGACCAATTATAATTACTCTACAATGGGATACAGACATAATCAAAGATGTCGAACAAAGAATAAATATCAAAAGACTCAACCGTGAGGTGTTTGTACAACAGGCAGACAATCTCAGACCAATTCTGGCTGAACATGTCATTCATGACAGGCCATCCATTGACAATTATGTAGAATTACTAACAAATAAGATACTTGAAATTACAAACCTAAGTTGCAAAAAGTTTCGCTGTAAGAATAGACGCACACCGTGGTGGAATGACCGTCTCCAAACCACCAAAATACAAGTAAATAGACTAAGGAAAACATACCAGAGACTTCGAAGACAAAATAGAAATTACATAGATGCAAGGAATGAGTACAGAGCAGCCAAAACCCGATATCTAAATGAAATTAAATCCGCCAAAGATCGATCATGGAGAAATTTCATTGACGAACAATTAGCTACGGACACTTGGGGAGTTACCTATAAACTTGCAGCCGATAAACTCAAAACAAATCATGTCCAACACACTGTGATAAAATCAGATGGTTCAACAACTCTACTTCAGGAGGACACACTACACGAAATACTACACAAGCTTATGCCAGATGATTTAGCCATACAAGACAATGCAGAACACACGGAAATGCGGCTCCGTGCACAAACTTGTCATGGAGACCCAGAAATACAAACTAATATTATGACTGAACAAATTGACGACGCTGTTAGCCATATAACGCCATAGCGAGCCCCAGGTAAGGACGGGGTTCATGGGAAAATTGTTATGCTGATCTACCTGCATATAAAAGACGAAATAACAAAACTTTATCAAGCTTGTCTCAGAATAGGCTATTTCCCTGACAAGTGGAAAGAAGGCAAATTAGTAACCATCCTAAAGAGTGCAGACAAGGATCCTACTGACCCAAAATCCTTGCGCCCAATTACTCTATTGCCGGAACTAGGCAAAGTTTTTGAAAGAATAATTCTTAATTTACTATACGAACAAATAGGAGAAAACAATCTTTTTGCAGAAACCCAACATGGTTTCAGAAAGGGAAAATCAATAATTGGAGCTCTAAAAGATATAAAAAACTACATCAGAGAATCACAACAGCATTGTATAGCCATATTTTTTGATATTTCTGGAGCGTTTGATAACTTGTGGTGGCCGGCCTTAATCCTGGAGCTAGAAGTAAAAGGAATCTCACGAGACTTAATGGCAATAATTAAAAATTACTTGACAAATCGTACTGTAGAATACAGCACCACTTATTCAACCAAATCCAAACAAATCACCAAAGGATGCCCCCAGGGGTCCGTATTAGGACCAACCCTTTGGAATATTATTATGAACACGCTGCTTATTGAACAATGGCCAAACAATGTTAAAATTACTGCTTATGCCGATGATTTTACTGTAATCTTGCGAGGTGCCAGCAGAAGGGACATAGAACAGACTGCCGCTAATTGCATGCAGATAGTGCAAACTTGGGCCTCTAAATTCAAATTAACAATATCAGAAGTTAAAACCAAATTCGTGGTCTTTTCAAACCTCTCACAGCATAGAAACCCAACTATAAGATACAATGGAAGACAGATCCAACGAGTAAACGAGATTAAATGTCTAGGCGTCATATTGGATAATAAGCTAAACTTCCAGCATCATACCATATATATCTCAGATAAATGTAGAAAAATTTTCCAGTCCCTGAGAAGAACTTTGAGAAGAAACTGGGGCCACATAGACAACTACCAATCCGCTTTAAAAGAAATTTACCTGAGAGCAATCATACCAATTCTGGTATACGGTATAGAAATCTGGGGTACCAGGCTAAACAGATTCCAAAATAGACGCAAATTAAGAACTGTGCAATCCACCTGCCTAAAAGTAATCTTGGGGGCCTACAACACTACACCATGTGAAACATTATGCATATTAGCCAAAATTCCTCCGATTCACATACATCTATCATACCTATATGCACGTATTGAAACCAAAAGACAAGGCAGGTCTTTCTTCATGGGAAATGAAATTATAGTAGCCAACTACCGATACATGGGATGTCTGTAACACAGGCAGACATCTACACACTCTCATTCCTAACATAAGAGTCTGGTTACAGATAAATACTCCTGCGCTTAAGCGCAAAATAACCCACCTATTATCAAGTCATGGCAATTCAATGATTCATCTTTTCCGAATAGGTAAAGCCGACAACCAGGACTGCCCCGAGTGCGAGGTTGAGGACTCACCGACCCACCGACTCTTCACATGCATTAACTACAACGAACAAAGAAGACGGCTTAGCATCCAAGTAGGAATTCAACCAATACATCCAGCCAGTCTGATGTTGGAACTATTGGAGAACATCAATGCCCTAGAACCATTTGAACCCGACGAGCTTCGCCAAATTCGTTGAAAAAGAAGCCAGAGTCTCCAGTTGAGCAAGGTATTCTTTGCTCAACTTATCATATTCTTTCATAATTTAGCAGATCAGTTCGAAAGAACTAAAGTATAATTAAGATTAAAGTAGAATTTAAGTTTAAGTTTAAGAATAAATTTTTAATTTTTGTTTTTTAAGTTAAATACTCGTTTCATTTCACTTGCATTACTAAATAATGCGCATTAAGCTATCTATTCCACTAGGAAGCTTGAGTCATATTTTAAGTTTTAAATATTAAGCAAATTTAGAATTACCTTTCAATAATTAATGGCAACACAGGGGTTAAGATTTCAAGGTACCCTGTAATAACTGAGCACATACCTTGCTCAACGAAATAGCCGATTAAAAGCTGTAAATCTAAATAAAGCTGCCCTTCCACACCTATCCTTAAGCCTGAGCCGAACACCCGACGACGTGCGCGGAGGGTGTCGGTAAAAATTGGGATTCTGTTTACAGAATCGTGTGGCGAAACTCGGCTATCCTTTCACCCCCCAATTTTTTTTTTTGTACTCACATATGAACGTAATACAAATTTGGGCGTTATTTTAAATTTGCACCAGGGCGCCAAAAGTGCTAGGCGCGGGCTTGGTTCTACGTTGCTGTAAATCGTTCAATACAATCGCAAATCTAGTGAACACCTAAATAAATTAATTAATAAATAAATAAAAGTATTCAGCTTTACAGAGTGTTATTCAAATCCAGCACGATGTTCCTAAATAAATCTAACTACATAAACTATTAATCGCATCTATTAAATGTAGGCAGAATGTTGATTATAAAAGCAATTTGTGCAACATAACAATTTATTTTAATTACCTATTCATAAAATCAAATTACTCGTTTATCTCTCAATTCACCCTGTAGATAGATCGACGCATACTTTACTCACATCGGCACACCTAAACATGTTTCGTTCCATTGATTGGCTATGTAGTGCGTAATATGTAAAATATTTCTTTTCCCTATTCATCCAGTGTAATTAATGCAAAATTATATAGATGCGTTTAATTTCATGCATCATTTAATTTTACCCAGTACCACACTCTTAGGGTGGCACCTATCGATTTATTAAACGGTAGGTACCTACCTTCCTACTTACACCTATTTCACTATATATTTTTTAAATACTTTTACCTTCCTGTTGCTATACAGTACGGAGGAATTTTAATACGGACTATCTTAGGAAAATTATTTATATGACAAAAATTATAGAGAATAACATTACAAGCAACTTTTATTAAAAAAAATTTCTCTTTCAATCGTAAATAGCAGTTATATTCAATTCATCCATCCAGATGTTCCGACTGTAGCCAACATTTAATCAATTCACCTCAGTATGGATTAAAGCTAAAATTTAGGTGTTTTCTCTTTATACGTTTCAGAGTTATCTTAAAAATTCGAAGTTTTCTCTTTTGTTAAATGTCTTGAATACGGTCCACCTTAAAGAAATTAGGTATAGGACAAGAATTATGGAAAATGAAATAACAAACAACTTTTATTTGAGCAAAAATACGAGGGTTCCTCAAAAAGTTATCAGGAAGGAGGAAATTATCATGAAATAAACATATTTAAAATTAAACTAAAGGGAAATTAATTTTTATGGTCTCTGATTACAACTTACCATACTAGGACCGTAACCGTATCGACACATAC